TATATCCAAATTAATCAACTGAATCTTATATTAAGGTCTCGAGATTGTATTTAAAAGTCATTTGTGAAACTTATGATATGAATGATTTAAATATGATGATGATGCTAATGATAAATGCACTATCAGTTAATAACCAGAGTGATTATAACAATAAAGAGCGCATAGCAATACTCATAGAGCCATGATAGTTAAGCTCTTGTCATTTCGATATTCCTCTACACACACAAACACACACACACATGTAAATATGTATATATGAATTGAAGATGGGTGTGATGACAGTGGTATTTTTATTATGCTTTGTTCTAGATCGTGGCTGTGGCCAATATGATATAGAAGAGGAGAAATGTGCTCTGCCTCAGACCAAATGGTGGAATTTCAGCGATAGCACCCACAACTTGTCTCTGGGAACAGATATCTTGCAATGAATTTGGAAGCGTTATTGATATCTATCCTCTAGGGAATAATTGTGTGTGCATGTGCGTGACTGAGGGGAGGACTAAACATTCTTAATATTTTAAGGTTTTCAAGAATAATCTTCAAGTGAAAATAACTAATTAACCAAAGATACGATTTTCACTATCAAATTAAACCCTGAAAAGTGCTTCTAAAAAGCATTTTTTCGCAAAACGAAGCAAATTCATCTACATATTTACTTCATAAACTGTAAAAACACTTTTAAAACCATAGTTTGATTTTCACCCAAACACCCCCTAAGGAAACCATAAAGTCCATTATATATGGAAGTTTGTGAATTCTTTCTTGACTTCTCCAAAGAAAAGGCAAAAACAAAATTGCATAAAGTCCGTATTACTATTATGGCATGCCATTCCTGCTTTGTGCTACAATTCTACTGCTATTGCAATGATAGCAAAGGAAAAACGTGCTTTGCCATAAAGAACACCATGGAATATTACTGCTATAACTTTTATTGACAGGTTTCATTCCAACTCACATAGGAACTCTTCAAAACCTCAATGAGCTGGATTTGTCTCATAATAGCATTACAGGTGAGTTCTCTTCCACCCTTACTGCGTTGAATTTTTATTCGATTAGAAATGACCTCGTGTCTAGAACACATTAATTTGCATTCCGAATGAATGTTTCTACAGACACCATCCCAAATCAGATAAGAGCTCTTACTTTCTGGTGAGAATTCTTATAATCAGTAGAGATATATTTTAGATAAAACATTATAGATTTGGAAGACGAAATTATCCAATAACTCCTAACTAGCTCTTATATTAAATACCGGAAGTAGTAATATTTAATGATAGTGTTGGTGAATGGCAATAATGCAAAATGAATCAATTTTAAGACAACTTTTATTGCTTCAACTTATCTTGATTCCAGTGAATTAATTAGAAGCAACTTAGATACGTGTGTTTGTGTGTGAGGTGAGGACAAAACGATTCTTAATTTTTAAGGGTTTCAAGAATAATCCTCAACTTAGCTCTTATCTTGACTTGTCTAATAATATAACAATCTTACTGGTGAGTTATGTACCTTCCACTTCTACTATTACTATCTTGCAAATTCACTCAATTTAGAATTATTGTATTTATCTCCACATAATCCAATATATCTGTTGACAAGTACCATTCCAATGCTGATAGGAAGTCTTCAAAATCTGACCAGGCTTTAGTTATCTCAACAATCTTATGGGTAAGTTACTTAACATTTACTCTTACCAAACTCACTCAACTCATGTACTGGTATAAGCTGCCAGTTACTCTTAATGGTGCAAATCTTAATTTGGAATATTTGAAACTCAAGGGAAGAGGTTTGATAGGTAAGGTACCATTCCAGCTTTGCCCAATGACATTTTATGTGTTGATGAGTTGGACAAGGAATATTGTGTCTGTGAACTCCGGTTATTTGATTTTTTAAACTATTGATGATCTATCACTTCCTTTTTCTAGAATTTCAAAAGAAAAAAATTGGAGGAGGCAAGAAAATGAAAGAGACCGAAAACCAAGCTAATTTGGTAGCTAAGTTATTGGGCCTTGGATGTCCCAAATGCCCACTTTTCAATACTCATTTGCAAGGATCATCACATTTAACATAATTCTCATCACTGAAATGATATTGGGTCTGTTTGGATTAGTAGTAAAAAAAATAACTTATTTATAATTTGGCTTTTAGAAAAATAAGATTAAGTAAAAATTAGATTGGATAATATAAATTACATTTGGATTGACTTTTATAAATAAGTTAGTTTGTGAAAGTAAGTTGTTTGGATTATGATTAAATAAGTAATTTTAGTTTGCAAAATTACCAAAATGAGTATGACTTTTATTAAATAATAATAAATTTTAAATTTTAAATTTACATAATATAATAATTTTAAATTATTTATAAGCTCTTGTTGATCTCATATATTTTTTTATTTTTTATTATAAGGGCATATTTGAAAATAACATTATATTTCTAATTTATTTATTACTTTCAACTAATTTTAACTGATTTTTCATTATCCACAAATTAGTTATTTTGAGGCTTATAATAAGAATTATAGGAGCTAGTAAATTGCTTAATGTTTTCTCTCTTCGTGTTTCAAAAGTCAAAAGTCAAAAGTCAAAAGTCATAAGCCATAAATCATAAGCAACTAATTTCTAGTTATAGCTTATTATAGCTTTTTATGCAAAAGTTAGATTGCCTCACCGCCGTTTTGAGTAGGCCCATCCCATATTACTGACTCTGTAGAAGCACTTTAGAATCAATGGGATGATCTTATAACCGTTGGGTATTGAGAATGAGATCTTATGATCATTAGATATTAGCTCATTAGAGAAAGAATCACAATACGTTTAAGTTGGTGCTTAATTGAAATGACAAGTAATAAACAGCTAAGAATCACGACATGTTTAGGTAGGTGCTTAATTAAAATGACAAACAGACAGATGTCATCAACTCAAAATTTGTTGCAACGGCTGTCATTAATGGGTTTTTTGTCAGGTGAAACAGGTTTAAAACTGGAGCTTTTTATTTTTAATTTTATTGAATTTTTCTGTTATAAAAACTGTTATAAAATATTTTAACTTTAATCTAATGCCTTTTTTTTGGTTATAAAAGAACTCAAATTTATTTTTAACTCAATTCTCAACCAAAATCAAATTAGGCCAAAACAGGAATTCTTAATTTATCGGTAAAGGTTCTTTTTTTTAAAATTAATAATTAACTAATTTTTTTTTAGAAATTAAAAAATTTACCAATCATATTATGAATTCGACTCTATTTGGCTTTAAAAAGCGAAATGTTTTTTTTAAAAAAGAAAACAATCTGGTTTGGCTTTCTCTCAGTAGGCATTCATTGATCCAAACCTTGGGATAGAGAAAAGACAGACTCAAATTTTCCCCAAATAAAAACACGGAATAATAAAAGTTTACTGGCATTCATTAATGCATACGATGAGGTAAGCGAGAGGCAAGAGAGGTTTTATGTCCCTAAAAGATTAATCTTTAGAAGGTCTATGACATAATCAAACGGAGTTTCTTGCTGAAGGTGCTCTTGTAGGCAAGAATGGAGAGTAATTTCATAAATCTCATCACGCGGTGTGTTTCCACCCCTTCTTATAATGTTTTTTGGAGTGGGCATCTTATTGATTATTTTGTTCCGAAGAGGGGACTCTGCCAAGGAGTCACCCTACTTGTTTGTCTTGTATTGTATGAACAGGTTATCACATTTTCTTCTCCCCTAAAGTTCCCGAGGCTCTAAGGAGGAAAATTAGCTTGCTGCATGGCATGAAGATTGCAGAGGAGATTGGTAGGTGTACTTGGGGCTTCCCTCTCTGGAAATGGAAGACCTACAGAGACCTTTCAATATATAGCGGACAGAGTCAGATCTAAAGTTGATGCTTGAAAGGCGAATTGCCTCTTAACTAAAGGAAGAATTACTCTTGCCAAGTCGTTTTTAAGTAGAGTTCCAATATATCCTACGCAAGTTGCTAAGCTACCGATGAGTATTTGCAATGAAATAGGAAGAATTCAGTGAAAATTTCATTTGCATAATCAAATGCATGACCTGCATATAGATATAATAGCGGAAACCTACTGGTCTTTGCATCCTCTACTTCAGTCTTCAGCATAATCTTCAATTCCATTCTTTTTGGTTTAATCAAGTTCTGTAGATGCTTTTCTGATTTTAATGCAAGCTTTTCTAATTTCAGGCCATGTAAAGGGGCAGTCAACCTATTCCTTGCAGTACCTTCAACAATGATGGTTCAATCTTTGCTTACTCGGTACAGCCTGTTTCTGCACACGTTTGCAGCTCTGTGAAATAAATTTTGGCATCCTCTTTCGTGCCAAACGAAGTAACGTTGAGAATCTTTGATTTATATACCAGCTCACCCCAAAAAAAGAAAAAAAAAAAATTTACAATTTGTAATGAGAGTGGCTTGAAAAACTCCTCTGCACAGAGTATGCTTGAGGGGATGCTAAAATGCTAGAGAATCGTCTGGAATATTGGAATTAAGATAGAAAAAGAAGTAGAAACATGTAGGTATTTCACTGGAAAAAATGTAGGCATGCAAAAAAATCGCAAGAAAAGAGACTTAATTGATGGCTCTTCAGGGTGAACTTTTCTGCCAATGTCATCTAAGAAAGACAAGTTATATATATTAGAGAAACTGGATAAGCGCTATAAGAAGCTGTGCGTGATGTGTTTGTAACCCTGTTTTGCTATGATTGAGAAGTTATGCATTTGCGTAGTTCACTCACGGGTTTTGCTATTGCAGACTCATCTTGTGAAACAGAAATTATGAAAAAATACCAAAAAGAAAAATCTGAAAGAATGTCGTTAGACCTTGTGTGAATGATATGTTCATATTTCTGTTTATAGGTCTGCTATGACTGGAGTAAAGGGGCTGAAAATCATAATCCTGCGACAGCAAAGACTTAAATCTTCCTGCATTTGCCACAGGTATTCAATGATTTGGTCGTAAAACTAAATGTTCTTTAATGGCTTTTTTTGGCAACATGCGAATATGATATGCTCCTGCAATGCAGGAAAATGAGTTTAAGGGCAATCCTCGACTTGGAACAACTGGGAGAAAGTAGGGATTATCCTAGTTTTGTATTACCCTTCTACGCACATAGATGTTTTATACTAGTGTCGAATGCGGGGCATGGTCTTGACTTGCTGTTTACTGTTTTCATTCTCTGTTCCAGATATGATGTATATTACTCAGATTTGGATCCTCTCACGTGATATGATCGTCATGTGAACAGAAAAATAGATGCATTCATAGCAGAGAAGGTACGATATTTTATTTATTTTTCTCCACACAGCACGTCGTCATCATGTTACTATGGGAGGATCCAAATCGCATTGGTCAGTAGTTTGGTAGTTTTATGATGAAAGATGGTTTTAGTTTCTACGGCGGAAGGCATCTGTAAGTAGTCTGTGATTGCTTTACATAGAGATTGCTGAATTGCAACATATTTAACACTTTTAAGTTGTATATATATTTCATTTCATTTATAGTTTCGTTCGTGGCGTGAAGGGTTCAGGCAAACAGTCGTGGGTATGAATGTTAATTGATTTATCAGAATTGGTCTGTCCTATATATTCCTTCAATTCTAAATATAAGACCCATTTTATAGTGTAATTTACACTGTAAAATGAGTTTTATATTTTGGAACGAAGGAGTATAACAATAAATCTTGTCTTTCAGCTGTCGCGAAGGCTTCACACACGCACGCACACCCCTCCCTGTCTTCTTCCTTCTCTTTCTTTCATTCCTTCTTCTTCTTCTTCTTCTTTTTCCTTCTCCTCCAGCACTCCTTCCTTGTCCCCATAATATATCCGTAGCATTGAGCACCGAGCTCCAAGAGCAGGGTGTAACTAGCAGCATCTGCGCCTGGGCCCTGAAATTGAGTAGGACTTGAGCGGAGATCATCATGAAACGAGCATTCAGCATATGGTCTCGTTCGTAGAAAGTCTTCAGTTCAAGATAAACGAAGACTTTTAAGTTATTCTTAATCTATTCCATTTTAATGCTGTGAAAAGAATTAGATGAAGGGAGAAGAATCAGTAACAAATGAAAGAACAGTTAATATGTTTAAGGCCGCCCATTCCTCCCTCAAGGAGGCAAATTTTTTGAAAGGCGCATCTGAAAAATTTTATCAGGAAATTCAGTTATTCGGTATTTTAAAATATGAGAAATCATTACAGTATTTGAAATGCAGATCCCATATCCAAGTCGAAGTTGAAGAATAGAGACTGACAATTTGGATTCATCTATTAAGGTTTGGGAGAACAGGTTATTATATTTTTGGCTATTATATGGATCCGTTAAGGGGAGTAGACATTACTATCTTAAATTTCATGCTCCTCCTTCCATGCAGGTGAATAATGATACTCACATGCTGTTTTACTCGTTCTATCCTCAATCATCATCAGGTGAAGAGTTTATTTGAACGAAGTTCAAATGACATACCTTCTAGTTCCACCATGGCCTTCTTGATCATAAGCTTGAACTTACCTGCATGGAAAATTAAGCGTCAATAGAACGCAGAGAAAGCACTCACATAAATACGCCACAAAGTCCAAAAAATACATGAAAGATAGGAGTAACAATAGTAATAACATTGACTGCATTTTACTGTCAACTCCAAGCTGCAACACATTCAAGTACAACAACGGAACAGGAATACAAGTCTTTCGACTGAGTTATTAGTTAATAAATTTGCAATTAGAAATAACAAGTTAGTTAAAGTAACAAGTTAGTTAAAATAACAAGTATTTATTTGTAGGTGACGAGTTTTATATGTGGATTTAACAATTTTATAATTAAAAATAATAAGTTAACTCAATTAAAATAATAAATATTGGTTCAGAAATAACAAGTTTAGTATGTGAATTTAATAAGTTTGTAATTCAAAACAACAAGTTAGGTTTGTTGAACTAACAAATATTTACTTGGAAATGACAAGTTAAATTTAGGAAGGAAGCACATTATTTTATATGTATATATATATGTGTAACTATTCTAGACTTGTTATTCCCTATTTCAAACTTGTAATTCCATATTTTAAACTTGTAATTTCTTATTTTCTATTGCAAACTTGTAATTCCTCATTTCAAGCTTGTAATTTCCTATTGAAGATTTGTTATTCCCTATTGTAGACTTATAATTTCCTATTTCACACTTGTATTTTTTATTTTAGACTTATAATTTTCTATTTCAGACTCGTTATTTCCTATTTTACACTTGCAATTTTCTATTTTAAACTTATAATTTTTTATTTTAGACTTGTTATATCTTATTATAGACTTGTAATTTTATATTTTGGATTTATAATTTTTTATTCTAAACTTGTTATTTCTTATTATAGGCTTACAATTTCTTATTTCGGACTTATAATTTTCTATTTAAGATTTGTTATTTCTTATTGTAGACTTATAATTTTCTATTTTCCACTTATAATTTCTTAGTACATATTTGTAATTTTCTATTTGTAATTCAAGCTAAAATAAAGTTTGCCACGTGCTTACTGAATATGACATGACATGTCCCACACTCCTCCCGTGTGGTGTCACTTATCTTTATTACATGTTTGTGTGCAATAGCATTTCTATTGGCTACACGCCTTACATATAGCTATGCGTTACCATTTGCGGACTTCCCCCGATTAATTTCATAAATATAAAAAAGAAAAAAAAAACTTATTAATCATGAGCCGCACGCTCAGGGGACATGAGACTTTTAGGTCCTGTTCGGAATCACGACTAAAATAATTTATAAGTACGTTTTAGGTAAGTTGAGATAAATTTTTTTTTACATAATTACTTTGTATTTTGCAAATTACGGTTAAAAAATTACTTATAAGTCATTCTAAATAGACTCTTGGGCTCTGTTTGTGTTTTTGAGTGGTTTAAAAGTAACTTATCCAGCTCATGAGTATGTTTTAAAAATTCTAGCGTGTTAGGATAAGTTTTTTTCTTATCCTACTTAATTGGATTCATAAGCACAATTGGGTTAAGTACCTCTGAGCTATTTATTACTTTTTCATTGTGCTTATAGGTGATTGGTACTATTAAAACAATAATTATTCTTAAAAAAATTTTCTCACTCTTTTTCTCCATTATCCGCTCACGCTTTTTGGTTCCATCTCCTTGCTCCTTCATCCACTCCTTCCCCCTTCTTGCCTGACTTGTCCTTGTCATGGCCAAGTTGTGCTCGCCATCTCCATCTCCTGGCCGTCGTGGGACCATCGAGAGCAAAGGCACCATTGCGAGTTGGGTAGTGTGGAGGGAGATGAAGAAAAGGAAAAAAAAAATTAGGGCCCGTAAAATTAAAAATAAAAAATAATTAAATAAAAGAGGTAGCGAATACACGCTCTTTGCTTGGAGTTATGCGGAGATTTTTTTTTTCCTTTTGACATTTTGCTTCTCTGATATATTAGGAATTTTTTATTTGAATTAAATCTAAATTTGAAAATTATTTTTGTGTTAAAAAATATGTTCTGTAAATTTTTTAATCCGAATATATTTATTTCATTAAATAGTTTAAAATTATTGTATTATGTAAATTGGTTTTTTTTATTTCACATTATCTAATAAATGTTGCACCCATTTTGATAATTTTATAAACTAAGTTTAATTATTTAATCACAATCTGAACAATTTTTACTTTTACCCAATTTAATTTTTTAAAAAACCAATTCAAATATAAATCGTATTATCCAATCTAACCTTTATCTAATTTAACTTTTTTATAAATCAAATTAAAAATAAGCTACTTTGTTATTTTAAACAGGCACTTAATCATGTTTCAAAAGTCTTAATCATGAGCTGGAAGCTTAAGTGATATGCACCCAATCTTTCATAAAGCTCGAAGCTGTGATGTTAAACCCATAATCATATCGAAACACTTCAGCTGCTTCCCTATCTGTCTTTCCTATATTATTACGAGGAATCCCATGGTTACAAAGAACGTAATGGCTCACCCAGCAACACTTGATCATCACCCAAAAAAACCATATTTTTCGGAAAAATAGATGCATGTTGAGGGGTCTTAAACCGATGCTAGAAGGGCTCAAATTCATTAATGGGATGATAACGCAAATGCCTGGAAACTGATCGCCAATGTCAGCCTCTTTTGTTTTTCAAAATACAGAAGGGCTTTTTGGTCTTTTATGCTTAATTTTATAATTTTAATTTATGATCCAGTCCCTTCAAACAATTTTTTTAATTCAAGTACCCATTTTATTTTTAATAGTCAAGAAGTGTTTGATATGTGTCTTCAGATGTACTTGAAAAGTTATCCTCCCTTCAATCCTCAATGGAAGGATTTTTAACTTTTTCATAATGTAATATATTTTGTTTAAAATATTATTTTTTTTTCATCTAATACTCTTAACTAACTATAAATCTTACTAATTAATTACTACCTTCTATCCTTAATATAAAAAATCATTTAATTTTTATTTTGGACCCAAATATAAGACTCCAATCTATTTTGTCTCTCATATTTATCTTTTTTTTTCCTAAAGTAGTTCTTGTAATAATGATAGTTTTAGTCAATATACTTGATTAGCAAGAATATTTTAGGAAAAAACAATACTTATTTATTACAAATAAGTAACTTAAATAGTTTTCTTAATTTTTTTAAATTAACCAACCAGTTCTTATATTAAGGATCAGAGCTAGTAGTTAAATTTCTCCACTGATTTTTATTGAAAATATTACTCCCTCATCGTCTTAATTTGAGGGGGTGTTTGGATCCCCTATAAGTGTTTTTTAAAAGTACTTTTCCGCAAATCAAAACAAACTCATCGACATATTTACTTCGTATACCGTAAAATCACTTCTAAAATTATGGTTTAGTTTCTATCCAAATAGCGTCTTAAGTGTAGAATATCTATCCAGGAGTTTTCGAAGTTCACGCAAAAACTTTGATCATTAACGATGGAACTTTTTGAATTCGTCCGCGGGGTTTGTAAAAGTCGGAAAAAGCATATGTGGATCTCTCTCCAATATAGATGTCAAAACGGGATAACCCCATTGGGCCAGCCGTTCAAGCCTTTTTAAATGATTGACGGGACTTGTATTTTAAGAGTTTCAAAAAAAAATTAGACTCAAAAGGGTTAGCTTTTTAGGATTCAGAAATAAAAAGGCCAACCCTTTTAAGCCCGTCTATTTTTTTTTAATATCAAGATATTTATACAATTACATATTAGTTTTTTATGGATAAGTCTGAACTAAAAAATTATTTTGAAGAACTAATACTTAATCCAGATAATTGAAAAGAATTAGATGTTTTGAACTAGAAAAAGTACAATTAAAATCAATTTTCAATTCTTTCAAGAATACTAGTTGATATTCATAACATTTCAATCACTATAGTAGCTGTTGAATCTTCCTTTTACTATTCTTTCATATGTCTAAACAAAATATAAAAATTCTCTTATTCTAACAAATGTTTAGGCTTTTATTTATACTCGTAACTACTACATAGTTTAGCTTTAGATAAAAGTGATGAAA